TAGAGGAAAACGTAGGTTCCTACAAAGTACGACTTTGTCGTGTTGGTGTGCTTGAAGACACCCACACTGTGCGGTAAGGATTGTGCAATGGCTGATTGCATTAAAAATATTTCTACCCATTCCAACTGATTTTCCCCTATTTTTTCCTATGATTGTGAATTTTCTCCTGTTTTCTAAGGCCGAATCAAGTTACAATTTTAGATCATCCAAAGAGCGGTTGCTCGAGAGACCAAGAATAAAATCTTTAACCACTCTGGGTGACAGCGCATGTGAAGTTGCTGCGCCTAAGCTGTGGAACGCCCTCCCAGCAGAAATACGCACTGCCAGAAGCACGCAATCATCCAAGAAGCTGCTTAAAACGCATTTATTCAATAGACATTTTGCTGATAAGTTTTATAATTAGATTTAATATATACATATATATTTCTATATCAGTTTGTAATGCGCGTGTGAACATCTTCCTATGTAACACGCGCTACATAAGTATTAAATTACTATTATTATCATTATTTTTATACAATATTTTAGTCTACAAGGATTTATCAAAGTTTTCTTTTCGTGTATTTTTAACCACGTTTTGTCTCTCACATACAGACTATGCAGAACTTCCGATTCAGTCTATCTGCCGCATGATTATCCATCAGTAGAAGAACAGTGTGATAATATAGTGTTTACAGCCTACGACACGGTAAAAGAACTCGTCATTCCTGTGACTAACGACACTTGGGGCGAACAAGAGTACAAAACATTCAACGTTTCCATAAACACTAACGATTCTCGCGTCACCTTCAACGATACGACAAGTTACGTTGTTACCATACACGATGATGACAGTAAGTTTTCGTTTTGTAGGAAATAACTGAAAATAGACAAGACAAGACAACGTATTTTATTGGCTCCTTATAAATAAATCTACATTGGAGTCTATAATAGAACCAATAAAATATCTAATCTAATCTAATAATAAGAACTAAGTCAGCAACCACAGCCCGATGTAATTATTGTCTTTTTCCTGTCCAGCTGAGCGGTGAAATTTGTCCCAGGCAACCACAGAACGCTTAGCTGTTTTGCCGCTCGGCCCTCATTCTCAGGCTACTGTAATATAACCCAACTCTTGCGTATTTTTCTGTTTTCTTTTGACTAAAATATGATATACATGCCTACAAGAAGCAAAAATATGGAAAGGAAGAATTAAAACAATTTCACTTTCACTTTCAATTTCACTTTAGCCTCAATGTGCTTCCTTCTTTCAAGCTCCAGAAAGTCTTAGGACCGGTTTTATTTCCCAGTCATGCTTTGCGCGCCGCTTTCACCGCTCAGCTGTCTAGTAAAGCATTTATGAACAAATTTTATGACAATTTTGCTTTTGAATGGAGGTTAATATTCAACTTACTAAGTTGTGAGGCTGACGCACTCCTTCAGAATGGAGTAATTTGGAGGAACTAAAAATAGCGAATAATAGAATAGATAGGATGTCCTTATCCCTCCTCCCACAAACATACACACTCACCAAAACGGAAATAAGAAAAAATGAGAAACATTAACCCAATTGCGTAATTTCTTTGGTATAAACTTTTCATTTCTAAATTCGTTACCGATTTAATCCTCAAATGACTTAAAATCTCCAGATACCTTTTATCTGACGAGCGTCACGGAAATGCAGATGACTGAAGGAATTGGGCCAGGCATTGTTACTCTCACTATAAACAGAGATGGTAGAACTTCAGTGGCTTCCAATGTCAGGTAATTAAGTCGAATGGAAAGTATATCTCGATTGGCTGCGTGGCGCACCATTCAAATGCATCCACTAATCAAGGCTGGTCAGTCCGTATGTACAACATATTGATGTATCGATCGATGTCTTGTCTTGTTCTAAGACTCATAATCAATTCCATGTGAGTATCCAAAGACGTCACAAAACTGTTAAAGCATACTATTGAAGGTTCGAATTGCGCTAGCCCACGATGTGCCTGCGTACCAGTTACAGCTGAATAACCTTCAAACAAGAGAATATGAACTAAGAGAAGGAATCCTACCTATATAGCCTTGTAACCATCATGTGTACAGTTTGATGCTATATTTAGCTTGGAGATATTTTGAGTGAACAACCTGATTGCTTGATTTCTTGAGGGTAGGCGGCTTCCAGTCTTGTAGTAAACAAAAGCCTGTGTTTTTGTCGTAGACGTAGCGAAACATGGCGCTTTTCCCGTCCTAAAACGAGGCATTAAAGGGAAGCATGATTATCGCGGGTATGGTAACGAGTTAGAAGTAGCATCAATGATTCTCAAAATTTTATTGAAGAACCACACACGTTTTAAATTTCAAGTGGGAAAAACCATCAAATTTTGCGAGAGACTCTGTACTTTTTATAACCTGAATTAAAAAACATCTACACATCTACATTATATCAAATTCAATTTTTTAAAGGTGAATTTTCTAACGCATGGAAAATAGATTTGCGCTAACGCGTTGTCTTTCACCACTTCGGTTCCCAAGGATAGGCTGACTGGTTGGAGCCTTGCGGACACCATATGTAAATAGAGTTAGCTTGACGTGTTGTTCTCTCCCTTGTCACGAGGGTTTTTCTGAGGGTTTTCCGGATTCCTCCCTCCGTAAAAATCGATATGTGAGTCGAGCGTTGTGTCAGTATTATGGTGAATATAGTGATAGCGTGTGGGAGTTAAAAGTGTCCCCAATTAGTGCGAAAGCGCTGGACCGACTAGACTCTTAAATAAGGATATTTTAAAAATTGTATTATCGTCGATGACATCATCATCATCATCACCAACAGCATGTGAAATGCTGTTTTGACAGTTAGTTATATAGAACAAATGCCAGTAGGCTGTTACGAAATGGTCAATGCTTAGTTGTGCGTATATCCAGTTCTGGATTTACGCGGGAGACTGCTAAGCACAAAAAGAAGCGTCAGAATCACACGAGGCAACTCTAGCTTCTTGAGTGTTTAAGCAGCCTCCCAAGTGCATCCAGAACTGGATATACGTACAACTAAGCATTAATCATTTCTTTTATAACAGAGCAAAACCGTAAAAGAAAATTAGATGATCAAAAAAAATTCAAATTTTGTTCTAACTAATTTTTCAATATATAGCGCGCTACTCAATCACGTCAGCGTCCACCATCCATTTCTGGATGCACGTTTGCGCACGCTAATTAATCAATCAAAGCGCGAGTTATATTGTGGCTATGTTATGATAATTTATTGATTATTGAGGGAAGGAAAAAATGATATATGAAATGCCTTTTCTTTGTTATTTTTTTCCTTTAGTCTGGACCTCATATTCACCTCTACTGCAAAGAGTGCAGATTGCACTGGAATAAGCCACCGTGTAATCCAATTTGCAGCAAATGAAGACAGCAAAACAATAACAGCCTGTACAGTGGTGGATGACAGACTAATAGAAGACGACGAGACTTTCAATGTAACGATATCAGGGATGTCTCCAAGCAATGTTAGGGCTGGGAAATCTGAAAGAACTGTCAAACTGATAAGTGATGATGGTATGAAAAATCCTAATATTTATAACATATATCTTTGCTATATTTCAACCATTTGTTACATAGAGTTTACTTTACAGAAAGTGTGAAGTACAGGGTTATGTGCACAAGTTTTTTGAGTTAAAATACCGATTCAGTGAGTGCTTTACAAAAAACGGCGAATAAATTTACCCATGACAAAGCACCTTCTATGGTGTGATTTATATGTATTTATATATACAGCGATATGCAGAAATTCTGATCCTTTTGTACATATGCACAAGTATATCAAAAGTATATCACAAATTATGGGATATCATCCCTGGTATTTTTTTTTCGGGTTGCCCATCTCTAGAACTTTCTGGTATCTTTCATGGTATCCCATAATCTCTAATATACTTTTGATATACTTTTGTGTATATACAAAAGTATCATAATTTCTGCATATCGCTGTATATATATATATACGCTAGACCGTAGMCCTACAAAACTTTGCACTAATTTGTACAATTTTGTTAGTTAATTTTTTCACTGATATATGTTATGCACTCTATTACTATTTGCTTTTGTGATATTTCTCAGTAAATGTTACGTGCCAAGGAGGGGGAAGGTTGAAAGAAGCCAATGGTCCTGCTACAGTGAGACTGGACAGAACTGGTGCAACCGCAGTCACTGCTAATAATATCTCGTACGTAGATAGATATTTATCAAACTCTAAAATTTTCATAATGATGATAATGATGATGATGATGATAATGATGATTATGATGATGGTGATTTTGATGACCTGTCTTAGGTAATTCGTAGATAGATATTTATCAAACTCTAAAATTTTCATAATGATGATAATGATGATGATGATGATGATGATGATGATGACCTGTCTTAGGTAATTCGTAGATAGATATTTATCAAACTCTAAAATTTTCATAATGATGATAATGATGATGATGATGATGATGATGATGCTGATGACCTGTCTTAGGCAATTCATTTTATTGCATATAATAACCATTTATATTTTCTTTTATTTAGGTGCAGCACTGCCGACGGTACGGCTTTAAGCCCGAGCGACTACACATCTCAAGCTTTGGCCACAGTC